TGTGTGTGTGTGTGTGTGTGTGTGTGTGTGTGTGTGTGTGTGTGTGTGTGTGTGTGTGTGTGTGTGTGTGTGTGTGTGTGTGTGTGTGTGTGGTGTGTGTGTGTGTGTGTGTGTGTGTGTGTGTGTGTGTGTGTGTGTGTGTGTGTGTGGTGTGTGTGTGTGTGTGTGTGTGGTGTGTGTGTGTGTGTGTGTGTGTGTGTGTGTGTGTGTGTGTGTGTGTGTGTGTGTGTGTGTGTGTGTGTGTGTGTGTGTGTGTGCATACATGTAACGATATGTGTGCATCTAATTTCACACACTTCTCACCATATAGGAAAGCAGCTGTTCATCACATATGTCTCTATAGGTGTGATGCAGGGACCTGTCACATCCAGCAGCGCTCAGATCTGTTCAGGTTCAGTCGCTTCTTTATCATCAATCCACATGTTATCGTTAATGTAACACCTGCATATGAAGCGTTCAGCGAGACAGCTGAAGTGGTTTTCTTACTTTGAGACACTAACAGAGCCCAACAAAGCTTTGAATAACTTGTGTTTATTATTAACATGTATAGATACCAGTCTAGAAAGAAGAAATGTGTTTTATTGTAGTATAGTTGGTGCACCAAACTGAATCAAATGCTTAATTGTGCCCATCTTTTGAATGTATTACCTATTTTTTTATGTTTGTAGATCAGCTAAATCTCAAAGGTTGATCCTAACAACATTTTTCTTATGTTACTTGTTGTAGTAAATGCTGATTTATTTCTCTTCACAGTGATTACATCTAGTGTAAAATAAAACAAACTGGAAAAATAGACACCCAAATAGACATTTGCAATAAAAGGCAACACACCAAAAGACAACCACGCTTTAATATCTTTTATTAGTATGTTAAATTATTTACAGGAGCAATAATCATGAGCAAAATAACAACCAATTCTTACAGAGTATTCTGAATTCAAATCAGTTGAAGAAATAATAATAAAAAATATGTATTATTGCAGGATGTTTTTTTTACTTAATTATGTGAGCAGGACTCTTCCTGTCTTTCTGCATCTGGTGTAATTTCAAACACTTCCGGTAGGAGGCGCACATGATTAAGCATTAATGTGTGTGAGCAACATTCACATTTGAGCCAAACAGCAGAAGTAAAAACTCCCAGAGGAAAGCGTTACCCTTGATAAAAAAAAATAATCATGTATTATATTTAATATTAAGACACTACTATTGGCATTATATTGTTTTCCCCTTCAGACAAAAGTCAAATTATTTACTAGGACGTTTCTTGGTAATTCTCCCGAGATATTGAAGCTATTATTTAGTTTTTTTAAACCATCAAACTTTCTAATATAAATAAATAAAAATAACACACCTAATCATACTTTTACAATAGTTTGAGACACTTAATGTACCTTTAATACACTTAACAACAGTGTCAACGATATGATCAGACTATAATTTCTAATATGACACTCAATAATACCTGATAGCTAATTACACTAAAATAAATCTCGAGAGAAATGATTTGCTTGTATAAACTTTCTTTCTGTCTGAATAATTTCAGCCCGGAGCTCCCTGCTGGATATTCTGACAGGCGATAATATACTAGTAGTTAGTTTCATATAATTAGATGATCTGTGAAACCGTGCAGCAGGTCTATCTGAGCTGCAGCAGCGACACAAAGCAGAGAGCCTCTCTTTGCGGATCCCAACACGTTTTGGCGCAGAGCTGCGGGGCTGCAGAAAGTTTGACCTCAGTTTGACTCCCGGCTGCAGCCAGTTGCTCCATGTTCCTCCAAACAGCAACAGACAGGCACACATCACAAAGACAAGGACTCTCTAACCATGGAGATGTTGTCATTTATTAAAAAATGCACGTATTTAAATGAATATTAACATTTGCATTATTCATCAGAACGTTTTCTGGCCTAAAAATAACTTACAGAGACTTAAAATAGAAATATATAACATTACACATCCTAGGCTTTGTGTGATTTAAGCCAACATAAAGTACCTTTGTCTCATTACAGAAACAAACAGGCAGAAATCACAAAGACTAGCACCCGTGAAACCATGGAGATGTTGTCTTTATGTATCATTTATTTGTTTAACTTTTATTTATTTGAATTAATATTCAAATTTGCAACATTATCTGACCTTAAAATGACCAAAAGATACCTAAAATAGGAACATGTAACACTACACATCTTAATCTTTGTGTTTTAAGGCAACATAAAGACTGCAAGTTGTCTTTGTCTCCTAACAGCACAGGTCACGGCGCACAGGCCGTCTAATAACACGTCCATTTGTTTCGGCAGTCAAACATGCTGTCAATTTACATTCAGCCGTTTGAAAGTAATACCTGCTGATTTTATTGGAACGACTGAAAGCATTACCGTCATCGCAAAGCGGATTAAACAGAAATGACGGTATTTGCCCCCCTGCTCTCTTTCGGGATGCCAAAATGCGCTGACCCTCACGAAGGAGCAACTCCAGGAGAGAAAGTGGAGCTGCAGTTTGCTTTTATAGACGCTAATTGAGGTAGCTTAATTGCTTTATAATGCCATTGTAGTTATTTTACAGTGGTCAGGCGCTGATGTGGTCTCCTTTCATGTTAATGTAGCTTTGCTTTTTCTCAATGACCCTCTACATTTTAGTGTGCCTTGTGGTGCAGTGAGCTATATAATCCTGTTTACGTTTCACTAAACCAACACATTTCTCTCAAAGTGGATTCAAACAGCAGCTTCTCAAAAATAGCGTCCCTTTAAGAACATATCAGTGACAATAATAAGCTTTTAAATTATTTAATAACACCATAAAATAAAAAAATAATGAAGAAATTAGAGGTTATACTCACCAATAATTAATTGACATAACAAATTCGACCCAAAGGCTGTTTATTAATTGATCCGGAATCTCTGTGCGTAAAAGTCCGTGCGTCCTGTCGGCTCCGTGGCTCCTCTGCTGCCCGCGCCCCGGAGCGTCGCTGGCCGGACTGCACGAGGCTTTGATTGTAATTTTATGCTTGTAAATGTCTCTCCTCGGATCCCATCGCTCGGGCTTTACCACAGGAATCACCGCAGAATGTGTGAAGCCGCATTATCGTGTTATGACACTGTTTCTGGCACCGGGGGCAGATGATCAATGAGTGGACGGGCTGCACGAAAAAAAAAAAAAAAAAAACTTCAAACAGGCTGTCACCGACCAGCAACACCTTATGAGCATAATCAGGAGATCATGTGGCTCTTTTACACACACTCTTTTACTAGCTTCACCTGTGATGGGCTGAGAAATAAATGAACAGTATAGTCGATGATCATCATGTGGAAAACAACTAGAAAAATAGACAAAAATCCACTCAAATATTCTGGAAATCCCTCAGCGTCTTACCTTAAAATTTAGTCAATCCACGTACTTTATCCCGTTTTTACAAGACTGCATATGCCATGAACTATATCATAAATATTGTATGCAAATGTTGAGGCAGTTATGCTCTTTTCTTAATTAAAAAAATATTGAATGACTAAATTAAATAAGATTTCTACGCCTTTATATGCCAGTGAAGAATGAAATATAACGAGTGAAAGTTGTAAATCCAAACTATTTTGTTAATTTACATCCACACATTACTCAACGATATCATTACTTCTTTTGGGAAATTACTGGAGAATCTATAAGTTTCCCCTCCACAAATTAAAGCTCATCAATATTTGACCAAACTTTTACAACCTCTGCTCTGCAAACCGTGAAATGTTAATTATTAAGAGACAAAAGTTGAACTAATAACTTCTGTGGAGAGAAGAAAGTTGTGTTAACTGTTTGGTTTTGAGTCGTTTAGTCAGAGTGTGAGTGCACTTAGAAGTTATTAATGAAGTTAGAGATGTGAAAATGTGTGTTTTTCCGCGTGTGTGTGTGAGAGACAGAACGAGGGAGAGAGAGAGACGTCTTGGTTATATCTATATATGTATAAAATATTCTCTATTTCAGTGAATTTACAGGCTGTAGAAGTTGACAGAAAACACAGAGTGTGTGTTTTCTATTCGCAGACGATGTTTTGTTTTGTGCCTCGTCGCAAATGTGGCCTAAAACCGATCAATCAGCCCCGGATCGATCATGAGGGGAGCCAATAGGGGGCTCCCATCCCTGAGCCTCTCTGCCATTGGACAGCCCGGGCAGACTGGAGCGACCCATTCAGCGCTGCAGTGGGGGAGAGGGACGGAGGACATGTGAACTGTTATTTAGACCTGAAGATGTTTTAATGACTTATTTCAGCATAGCATGATCCAAATGTCAGTATGTTGACTTATTACTGCTTTTACACAGATAACACCCCTTTGTTAAAAAGCAATATAAACAGTGATTCCTAATTACTTGAAGAAAGTTGTATATGTTGTCCTTTCTCTCTGAAATGTGGCACTTTACCAAGCAGTTTATGCTGTGTATTTCCAATATTTAACATTCTGTACGTTAGGGAGTAAAAAGGCTGTATTGAAGTAAAAACTGAGTCCAAACTGTGTGTTTGGCTCCAGCCTCCACTGTGGATATCATGCAGACATGCTGTTGACAGAAGCTGAACATGACTTTAAATCTGTTTTAATGAACTACTTTCACCTTATGTTTATAAATAGGAATACACACAAAGTTAAATCCAGTCTTATTTTACAAATCCAACCATATTAGCTGTTGAAAACATACCTGACAATATCTCACATCAGAGTTGAAAGCAGGTCGTTAATAAACTGTTTACAAGAAGAGAAGTGGATGCTGCGCGTAAATCCAGATAAACAAGAGTTTTTTCCGGTATATTAAAACATCTCCAGAGTGAGAATTAGAGTCAGTTTCTGAGAAAGAGACATGAAGCCGGAGTCAAAGGTGTGTATTCGCGGTTTATCCCCGTGTTGTTGCAGCTCGCGGTCTCGCTGGGTCCTCCCACCCCCCCTCCTCTCCGCACGACTTGCTGCAGCCCGGTGCGTTGTGTAAGACGCGACCTGTTATGGCCACCACTACTTCCGGGTTTCAGCAGTCTGGTCCAGATCCTCCGCTCCTCCTCAGCTCAACACACACATCCATTGTACACAAACGGGCAGGCGGCTCACGCATACACATGCACTCACACACATGCACACGTATATACGCACACACGCACAGCATCGATCGTGGCTCCTTTAAGAAAAGCCTAAGCCAGAATTATCACCCCACCTCCTCTTGATCTCCTCTAGTTGCGTTTGCATAAGAAAATCAAGCCGGGAGCCGAGAGTGATCACAGAAAACCAGAGGAGAGCAGCTTCATTTTTTAACTGTGATTGTGACCATTAACATTTAGCTGGTGCCGATCCCGTGGAGACGCGCGTCGGACCATCATTCATCCGGTACTTTTGACAAGCCCTCGCGTTTTGACTGACAGGCGGAGTGACAAAAAGCCATGAGAGTCGCCACTTTTGTTTGAGGGGCTATTTTATTTTCCTCCTGGTTTCGGAAAAGGAGCCTGGCTGCCGCTGCCCCGAGGATAGCCGAGGACCTATTCGCCGCGCCTGGGCTAAACTTGCGCAGAAAGCGGGGGCTGGCTCACCGTTCCGTGGAAGAAGAGGCATACGGGATTTTGTTGCTGAAACATCTTCCCATTTATTTGGATTTTCTTTCTTCATTTCGTCTCCACCCTGGCCTCAGAGGGGATTTATCTAAACTGAAAGGACGACCAGGGAGTCAGGAGGGTTATGGCGCAACGGGTACGTAGGGCAATCCCCCTAAAAAAAAGTTTCTCCAAGTCTGCTGTGCCTGAATGCGATCCTGCGCTGTAAAACGTGGCTTAATGACACACGGACATACACTCGTAGCGAAAGTTTCTGTCGTCCGTCTGACACATGGTGACACAATTTCAATTTTTGCCGTCTTTTGGCACGGTATTACGCACGGCCGCACTCGTTCGCTCCACAAACCGGCCCGCTGAGGGACATTGGAAGCGTGATCATATCTCACATCGGCTATGTTTTTTAGATTAGTTATGACAGGCCAGTTACTGGAAGCGAAATGGGGGAGGGCATGGAGGCAAAACAAATCTCCACATTTCTCCCTAGACTGTTCCATCATTATTTCATATTGAGTGGAGCATTTTTTAACAAAACAAAACTCCTTATTTCACAATCAGTTGAGCTTCGTCATTCAACTTTACACTGCCAAAAAAAGCTAAAACATGCAATATTAGCATAATGTCAGAGAGGCAGTTTTTAGTAATGAGCTGATGACAATCGCTTTGATTCATACACTGGGATCTTCACAGGTTAGTAAACAGTGTAAAAGCAGAGATGTTGGAGACACTGGACATTTAGCTTCTTAGTTTGACACTGGAGCTGCAGCACACTGGGGTTTGCACCTCTTTGCTCAGCTTTTAAGTGATAATGCTTTTTACTCGGCACTTGTTTGTGACTTATAGAGAGCACGATCAATAATTCAAGCCTCTTTTTTCATCTGTAAAAGTAGCAAAACTTTTTTTTAAAGCCCTTATTTAGTCTTTTGCAAACCTAAATCAACACGTGTGCTTTTTAACGCATCATCTAAGTGTTTAAAAACTATTAAACCACAATGTGGACGGGAGATTGTATAATTCAACTTAAAACTTGAATACAAAAAAGTTAGAAAATCTAGTTTAACATCGTCTAGAAAACACTAAGCGTTTCCTTGCGTTTGTTGCATTCTCACAGCGTGCTTAGTGGGTGAAAACATGTTGCACAATTATGGGCCTTTAAAATTAGAAAACACTGCAATTAACAAGTTTAAGACATTTGTTGTTGAACACGGACAGAACACAGTAAACCAGACTGGTGGGGTTAAAATAGCACTTATAATGATCATAATAATAATAGATTTTTTGTTCTCCCAGTGTTTTTGAACGTATTGGATAATTATTATGTATTTGAGCTACAAGGGTCACTGAAAAAGTTTAAAAGAAAAATAGTTTTAATGTTAGAATAAATGCTGTATTCTTTCAACTGTGAATGTCCTGCTGAAAAACACATACACATCAGTCTTAAAACGTATGTTTTCGTAAACAAGTATAACATTTTAACGACCGAGATAAATGCATTTATCATGTTTTTCAGTGTCAGTATTCTGAAAGAAAGCAGAAAAAGGGCAGCTCAGTTCAGTTGTGTCAGTAAACCGATTTGAATTAAGAAAAACGTTAAAACAAGTCCATTTGTTTGGAAATTAATGAAACTATTTCGCCGTGTTGGCAGATATTTACTTTTTTAACAGAAGAAACACATGACTTAAACTCTCACTTTTGCTTCTTCAAAAATATATTCCTAACTTGTGGTTTTATAGCAAAGTTATATCCAGAGTTTAACACATTATTGTGCATGTTTTCACTGTGGACTGTGTTTGTTGTGTGCAGTACGAAGACTTGCCCCACTACGGGATGGACGGGGTGGGCATCCCGACCACCATGTACGGAGACCCGCACGGAGCCCGCTCCATGCAGGCGGTGCATCTGAACCACGGGCCCCAGCTGCACTCCCACCAGTATCCGCACACCGCCCACACCAACACCATGCCTCCCAGTATGGGCACCTCTGTTAACGACGTTCTCAAGAGAGATAAAGACGCTATATACGGGTAGGTGTCCGCGGGGAAACTCGCTCTGTGGCGGGCAGGCCTGGAGGGGGCAGTCGGGGTGGGCTAGTGGTGCAAAGTCTGTCCCGTAGCAAGAAAAACACCGGCTCCATGCCCGGGAAGCGTTTCAGCAAAACACTGGAGCCCAAACTGCTGCAGAAAAAACTAACTGCAGCCTTTTTGTTCTCCAAACAGTTTGTAATGTTAGGCTTTTAAAGTCAGTCGCTTTAATTGCGCATGAACAAACACTAAATGAGTAAATAAAGAAATAATACTTTTCTTATAGTGTATTTCTTACGAATTTGCTGCCATTTAATTCCCTGAAAATTGTATTTTGACTCTTAGGAATAATTATGACACAAAACCACTTTAATTAGAACTTCTAATATTTTCAAAAAAAATGTAGCTTGCTTAATTTCTTATTAAGTTTCATCGTTTATCACGTGGCAACAAAATAATTAACTCCTCTCTTTCACCCATTTTAATTAATTGTGTGTAATGTTCCAGGCTTCAGCAAATTAAAAATATATCATGTTTAAAGGAAATCCCACATAAGCATGTCATTTATTAATTTACAGGAGTTAATTAAAAATTCTAAGCATGATGTCTTCACGGTGGCTTAACATGCCAGTAACAGTTTCTTCATATTGTCCCATACTGACATAACTTTCAACACATCACCAGTCTAGACATATTTACTCTGCTGACTTAAACAATAAATACTAAAACACAACTGTGCGTACACACGTAGTTTCAGAGGCTCTCACCAAACACACACACACACACACTGGGATCCAAACGGTGTGCAAGAAATTGTTTGACTGACTCTAAAGCTTTTATGCTATTAGGCGCGCCTAGATTTAATCACAGAAGTCTGCCCGCTGTTTGCAGCCTTTCTCCGAGCTCTGCATAATATAATAGCCCGGGCAGCAGCAGTCCCCATGGGCGAGTTGTTGGAGAGTAGCATGGCTGGCTAAACCTAGCCCGGAGTAGTCTTGACCCCGGCGCTGTTCTCTCTGGTGACATTTGCTATTGTGTGTGTTCCCAGGCACCCCCTGTTCCCCTTGCTTGCACTGATTTTTGAGAAATGTGAATTAGCGACGTGCACCCCCAGAGAGCCCGGGGTGGCGGGCGGAGACGTCTGTTCATCGGAATCTTTCAATGAAGACATAGCAGTGTTTGCAAAACAGGTCAGGAAACTTTGACTTTTTTTAAATCTGCATGCTCGGGCTGGTTCAGCTCTCACCTGCATGCATTATGCGTAGAGCTCTTTCTTATGGACCTAAAGTTGATCTTGCATTTAGAGAAAATAAAATAACATTGCCTCGTAAAAAGTTTTTTTAAATGTTTTAATTTCTTACGCTGTTGCTGTGCGTAAAGTATACATTAACACGACACCATGCCAATACTTGCATGTCATATTTAATCTACGTTATAAATATATGTATTAATATAACTTATATATTATATAAATATATTATACTAATATATTTTGTAAACATTTGTTTTTCTTCTAGATTCGGGCAGAAAAGCCTTTATTTTCATCGAATCCAGAATTGGATAATCTGGTAAGATATACATATATATTTATCTTGCATACATGCCAACTAAAATGTGCTTATTTTCTTGGAGTGTCTTGGAGTACACCAGCTGTTGTTTGCCTGTTTATACCGGGCTGTAGGTGTCAGAGAGCCCTGTGGTTCTGAACCGTCAGGATGATGCTCCTCTGTTTGGGCTGTTTGATTCCATGATGGCCCCCGGTGTATCTGCAGATGAAGGGCCGCTGTTAGACAGCTGACACAAACCTTTGAACTGTGCCTGGGAACTTATTCTCTTCATGCTCCTCACTTTGTACAGTTTGATAGTGTGACTGTGATGTGAGAGTAACGTTTTCCTCACGAGTATCTGTGCTAATAGATCTGACTGAGGCTTATTGCAGCGCCAGCCTGTAGCCTACTGTATGTCTGCTCTCCATATTGCAATAACGTCCAAGTTTAATATCTGTTCCACATAAAATCCATTCATATGAATATTTTTCCTCGTCTGCAGTTACTTGTATTGAGAAAAACGTGCCTGTTTAATATCAAGAGATGTGAGCAACTCATTTTTTATTGTTATTTAAATTTTTCAGATGATTCAAGCCATTCAAGTTTTACGATTTCATCTTCTGGAGCTGGAGAAGGTAATATTCCCTCACCATTTCTCTGTCCAGTGCGCCACTTCAGACCTAGGGGCTGTATTTGCAGAAATGTATTTTTGCTAGTCGGTTATAATTAGCGTCAAAATCATCATGGGGCCATTTCTCTTCCGCGTTTAATCACGATGCAAGCTGTTACAACTGGAACGGATATCTCTGTGCCCAAATCTCCCTGCATGTTTTAATGAAGTTTAATGCTGGCAGAAATTGCATACAAGGTGAAACATATAGGCGAACTCTGCGGGATTTTAGAAATAATTCCTCGTGGAGGGCAATAGGCCCCATGCAGCCATCTGTGGATAGAGGCAGCAGTGGGTGTACAACTCTGATTTGTTTCACTATCAGATGGAATACAGTAGCATGTGCAAATTAGCTTTAACCTATGGAACATTATCAAAACTGTTAAAGTTTTAAAAGTTGGTTATCATGCCCTTTCTTGGATAATGTGCTTTAAATAGATAGTAAACTGTGCAAATATCAAGAAAATGTTAATCAAGTTAAAGCTGGTTTCTCTATATTTCTCTGCCCATCTGACATTTGTTCTTCTCGGGCGACACGATGCGCATTGGCAGTGATAATGTAATAAGTCTGCGAAATTAAACAGTTTACCTTAAATGTCAGTCATGCGGGTCATCCTGCTCTAATGGCCACTACCCGGGGCTCCATGATGAATTTAACACGGGTGTTGAGTGCGTTGTAGCCCCTGAGCCCTCTTGTCACTGTCAATTTTCGACGATATCTCTATTTTGAGAGGAGACAAAATTAAGTTACTATCACAGTCCGGATGGAGTGCACGGGAACTGGACACACTTTAGCCTAAAGGAGTCCAAATGTATCTTATTTCAGTTTTTACAATTTAAAATCAAAGGTGAATCAATTTAAATGTGCAAAATAATAAATAAAATGTGAGTTTTTGATCATGTTAGCCAAATAATGTATCACAGTGCCAATACGTTGTCAGAGATCAGTCACGCTTCATGTTTAAATATTTTAGATGCAACAACTGCGCTGTGATCTTCGGGTCTGCCAAATTGCCTAAAAACTATTTTGCATGTCAAAGGCTGCCATGTGTGTGTGTTTGTGGTTGCACATGTCACTGTTGTGTGATGATGTCCTCTTTTTTGGGGTGAGTGTGTGACGCCTCTCCTCTATCTCTCTGAAGGTACACGAGCTGTGTGAAATGTCTGTCACGGTACACAGCGCTTGAAAGGAGCGAGTGCCCATCAACTTGGACAGCGAAGAACCGGTATCCAAATAAGATCATAGGCCCTGGAAACTCCAGACATATCTCTGAGGCATATAAGATCATCGTCTATGATCTAAGAACTCTCTTGAGGGAGTCATCTCTCTACCTCTCTCTTTCGTCTATCTTCTCTCTCTCTCTCTCCGCTCTCTCTATTCTCTCTCTCTCTCTCTCTTCTCTCTCTCTCTCTCTCTCTCTCTCTCTCTCTCTCGTGTGTTTCTTCGTGTGTGTGTGTGTGTGTGCGTTCTCCCTGCTGGCTATTCAGCTATTCTGGGTCACTACTCCGCTGCGCTGTTATTTGCATATGATTAAGGCTGTTTTACATTCCGTCCATCGGAATGAATTTTTTTCCTGGATAATGTTATTGGCCCATTAAGAGTTGAACCCGGAACCGACCTGGGAAGATTAGCTCGAAAAAGCATCGCCATAAACTTGACCTGTTTCATGTCGATTTTAATTTAGTGCTTCTCCATTTTCCCCTGTACTCTGTGTGTCTTTTTTTGAAGCGAAGCGTTATCGGCTCCTCTGTGTAGATGAGGTATGATGGGCTTCAGTCTGTGGTGGAGGTGCCTTGGTTTCTCCACTGTGGAGTTCACGGTTCATTACGCGTCTTGTCAGTATTTTTCCTTAGACATGAGTGCACATTGCTTATCGAGACCCCTCTTCCTCTTCCTCCTATATTTCGCTCTGAGCGCGCTGATTCAGTTGCAGTAAGAAGGTTTTATTTTCCAAAAAAGCTACAGAAGCAGCGGGCATCAAAGGTAGATTAGGGGGTGTTTCCTTTTGTGCCGATATCAGAGATAACCCCAGCCTTCATTATGTGCTCCACTGACTGTTGGTACTCCGGAGACATTGTAGTGTGCGCGCAGGCATGACCCTAATGGCCCGTACACTGCCGTTAAATAATGATAACAGCAACCAATGATTAGAATTATGCAAATCTGGATTTTTGACCAGTAATAGCTCGAGTCATTTGTGCAGGAGACAGCGGAACATGTTTCAATAAGTTAAACTATCCCAGAGTTTTAAGGAATGGTTTAGGAAAGCAGCCTATGGATACCGATGAGGGGAAAAAATCAAGTGGGCAAATTAAAGGGATTAGTTGGATAGTCCGACATAAAAAGTAATGAAGCGATTAGGCTAAATAATTTAAATCCGCGGACTTCCATATGGTTGAGTGGCTGGTCTGAGTAGAGAGAGGCAGCCACCGGCTTTAATGTTCAGGCTGAATGGCAGGACTGGGAGCGGACTGGGAAGCCTCCCCCCCCCCCCCCTCCGCGCATGCACTCCAGCCCTTATGTCTGATTATGGAAATGAGAAAGATCACCCGGAAGATTATACTTCATTTAATCCGGGAACAGAATTAAATAACACAGACGCCACTTGTGCATTTAAGTGTCTCTTTGAACGGCTTGTTGTATACTCTCGGGGATTCAGTTGTCAAAAGTTTTTTTTTTTTTAATAGATAGGTCAGGACATAGAATGAAGTCTTATGGTATATAGATATGGAAATAGACTTTGTTAAATCCCATGGGTTTCTAGGTATATGAAGAAAATGATGTTGTGCTTGAGGCTCTGATGCAGATCTTTAATTGACTGTAAGATGAAGACATGGCCTATTTTAATATAATGATGGTCCCTACATAAAGCAAATTCAGGGCAAAACCACATAAGCCCATGTTTACTCTGATGTGACAGAATAATATAAATGACCTACAGGCAGAGTTTGCATTGCAACACAGGGAAAACTTTTTGACACATGTGTATTATTGAGGGGTGCTGTAGGATAACATTGAGACTGCCCACAGTGTGTGTAAATGAGCATATCCAAACAGGCTGCATGCCTCTCACTGCTGGATCTAATGGCACTGCACTTCAGAACTTACTTGCGGCTGAATATATCTTTTTCGGTTTTGCAGGCTATTTTTGTGTGACATCTTATCTGCAGTTGTTAGGCAGTGACATCCTTAACAAATTTGCGTTGTCTGTGCATTATCTCTTTCCATATGTATTTTTAATATATGCCCTCGGGCATAAAGTTGAAGTGGACTGGAAAAAATAGCTGAGAATTTGCACAAAAGAACAATGTTAACAAGACGGAGAAAGCAGGCTCATTTATTCATAAACCAATTTATTCCAGTGAGGCGACTGTAGCAGAGGAGGAAAAAAAATGTCAGAGGAAGAAATACTTTGAATTTATTAAACTCAACAATCCAACAATGCTGACTTTCTTGCTGAATTATGCACCCTTGCTTCATAACAGTAATTTTCAGAATAGTCTTTACATGTCTTTACATTGCTTTGTTAGCCTGCCTATGCAGGCGAGTGGAGGGACGCCGAGCGCCCCTTTCAAAAGAAAGCAGAGCATAGCTGAGAGGTGAAAAAGTCAGAGAGGCTCTGCGCTGGCTTGTGAATGCAGCCCAGCCAGTTTGGGCTCACCCTCCTGTGTTTGTGTGTGCCTTTCTGAGAAGGTGTGTGTGTGTATCTGTGTGCAAAAGTGCATGAGCTGTGTGCATGCATCTGTCTGCAAGTGTATGCATATGTGTATCTGTGTGTGTTTGTGTTTTCACTGCTGTGTGCATGTGTGTGTTCAGACTGGCCTGATAAATGCAGCACCCCCCTCAGGTGCTATGTGAGTGGAGTGACTGGTTAGCACCAGTTGGACGTTCTTAACCCTTTCCCTGCCGCTCCCTGGAGAGATTCCCACCACGTTTGCCTCATTTCTTCACATGAGCAGCACATTTCCAGTTGCCCCATTAGACATATACATCCTGCTTTGAGTTCAGATGTATATAAACATGAAAGATACAATAAAATCCCAGACTGATTTAGCAGAGGCCTTTAATGTGGAAAGGCTTGTGCACTGACTATGGCTGCAGTTCTTGTTGTTGTGGAAATGTGGCAGCAGTTGCTCTGCTCGCTGCGTCCCTATTTGTGCGGCTCGCATGCTCACCTCAATCTGAAGAAGCGGGGAGGTATTTCCACGCCGCAGAACGTCATTTGCACATTTGCCTTTAATTGCGCAGAGAGCACCGGGAGGGGCGCAGCAATTTGCTAATGAAGTCGGAGGGCCGGGCTCCGCTGTAGAGCAGAACAGTACTAATAGTGCTGAGGACTCACTCCAAGTCTCAAGAGCTCCTCTACTTGATTGAGCCATGCAGGCTGAAGTGGTGCTGGAAATAATTGAAATTTCCCTTAAAAAATATTCTCCACCTGCCTTTTTGTGAATGTGAGAGAGTCTTAAACGATTATGAATGCCCTGCAGTTGATCTGTTGAGTCAATTTAGTGAAGAGGTATTTTTATAACAAGAGAAGCTGTGTGACTTTTCAGAGTCAGATTTGTTTCTGTTTAAATCATGTAAAAAGAATGTGAAATAGTCTTCAATCTGAAATAACATCTATACATTTGGGATCCGTTTCTGTTTTTCTTCTGGCCCGCTCAATCTTTCCTAAACAAACCATGCTTGTGTGAGCTTAGTGTTGTGGTCACTGTGTAAGAATTTGCTCTTGATAGTGCTATCGCGGTATCTTTTCCCAACAATTGGCACTGTTATGCCATACAAGTGCTGGTTTCCAGGTCAGTGGGACCCAGCAGTGTTGGTTTAGGTAACTCTGGCGGTCAAAGAGTGACCCCTGGCCCCCTCCCCTCCTAACTCAATGGAAACCCTGACCGCCGGGGTCAGCCACTATTTTCCTAATCAGTACACCGCTATCGCTAATCTATCCGCTTCTCGTTGAAGTATGGATCAAGTTACACCCGACTTAACAGGCACACACACTCGCCCTCTTTTTTTCAGTCCCCCGCTCTCCTACAGTGGCACGCTGCTGGTCGCAATACAAACTTTTGAATCATCGCGGTGATTGTTGGTAATGGCAGCTTTTGTAGTTGAATAGAGGAGAGGTTTGACCCCCACTCGCCCCCTCCCTCTTCTACACCCCCTTCTCCCTCCCCTCCCCTGAACTCCCCTTTTTTTTCCATTGGGGGAGTGAATGCAGGGCGGCTGTTAAGGATTCAACAAGTGATACAAAGAGGCGACCACGTGACTTGTGTGTTTCTTAGCCTCTTCATTATTGTGCTGGAATAGCAAGTAGGGTGATTCTGATTAAGCAAATCAAGGCCAGAGTGACTTCAAAGAACTCAAGTGTCTTATATACTTTCATACATTTTCAGATAAGAACTTTCTTTGTACTTAGTTCTGGATTTTTCTTATTATTAGTTGTTTTTAAGTCATGCACTTTTGCTAGGGTTTAATAGAGCTGCAGTGTGTTATAGCTTTTCTCTTTTGATAGGGACCAAATCCCAATTGCAAATAAAGTTCTTGGCTTGTGTCTCGTGTTACTTATGATGGGCGGCCATGTCTGTCCCCGAGGCCTGCTGTGGTTTCTTTGGCTAAGTAAACAATAACCTGGCTTAACACATGTGTACTTAGCTAATGGAAAGTTCCTCTCCCCCTTAACCCCCTGCAAGCCTCTGACAATGGCCACCGTCACAAACAGCCCGTCTCCAAGGGATCCACGGAGAACATCCCAGCGCAGCGGCGGAAAGTCAAGCTAGGCTAACGAAGTAAACCGCAGCAAAACATGTCATTAAGAAATCACGACCAAGTAAAAAGGGAAAAATGCTTTGTTTGGGGTGAGATAGCGGCGAGGGGAGGGCACTCGAGTTAATGTTTTTGTTTGGATTTCAGCTCACAGAGAGTAAACAAGGAGTCTGCAGCGAGAAGTGAAGTGGAAGAGGCCACAGAAAAAAAGAAAATCAGTTTGTCAGTTTCCGCGAGTGTCATCTAAATGGACTTTGAAAGCTCTGGTAATTATCTCAAACATGTAATTATCTTTGGTTGTCTCTATGAGGTTAACCCAGCAGTTTGAAAAAGCCGACTGAAGAGTACCTGACGGCTATTCAGTGTAGCATACTTACTCAAGAGACCAAATCCAGTTCTCTCCCTCACCCCCTACAGCAATTATAAGGTTATTTCTTCTTTCTTTGTCTATTGTGAAGAGTTAGGGAGGAAGGGGAGTGCAGAACAGAATGGGAGGGAGGAGGGTCTTTTGCTCTCCCACTCCCCTTTTTTTTTTGCATACCATTATCAGCCCCTCTTTTCATTTTGGAAGCACTAATATTGCTGCGAGGGGAGGAGAGGGGTGGAGGTGGTTGGGCCGGTTATCAGAGAGGCAGATCCTGCTTTATCTAGTCTCAGTGCACAGCAGAGTAAACAAGAGTTCACAATAGCTGGCCTTTCAGCCCCTTCACTAACAGCTTCCCCAGCAGCATTCAGCTGAGTGGGAGAATGTGTCCGCGGTTATTGCAGGCCATCGCGCCGCTGCAACACATGGCATTCTGCAGAACTCAACTGGAGGAAGCAGTGCTGTTGCAAAGGTCAAAAACGGTGTTAAAGAAAACAACCGCAGAGAACATATGCACCAAAGCATTCTGGGGGATGGACTAGCCCAACTGTCATCTTTGATTCAGATGTACCACCCCTGAAGAGTGTATGTGTGTGGGGTTATTTGGATATCTATGTCTGTGCCGTTAAGTATGCACATATGATTATTCCTGCACGCTCGCTGGCACAGAGTGAAAAGTAAATATCCATATCATCACAAAAGATATTTCAGAGTCAGGAAAGGCAGGGCGTGAGGGGGGGAGGCACAACAACCTTAACCATTTCCTTTATTATTGCAAATGAATTGGCAAGGCAACATATCTTGCATGAGTGCTTGTATGATATGGGGCCTGGCACAGCGAGAAAGGGAAGCCCCCCTCGCATCTTAGATGCGGCACAATGAGAATGCATTGGATTGGAATGCCTCGCCGATCATAGCGGAATCAGAATTTCCAGCAAGGAAAATCTTTTCATGGCGAATTAGGGTGGTGGAAGGAAGAGAAATGCTAATGAAAAAAAAGGTATGCATGGCTCACAAACAGGGTTCCCTCGGCTTGGCGCGGCAGATTTAAGAAGTTTAGCTAAAGCTAGGCAGAATAGAATGTGGAAAATTGAATTTACCAAACAATTAAGCACTGAATTAATCTACATCCCGCACAAGAGAGACGGAGAAAGAGTTAAAGAGAGGGCGGGGGGAGACTGGGGGGAGACCATGGCGGCTCATTAAGGGGACATAGAATAAATCAAGTGTGTAGCTATGTGTGCAGAGGGACAGCTCACTCCTTCTCTGTTTCCTCCAGCTCTCTGTTTATACATCTATTCATCCTGTGGATTACCATATCCCGTGTTTTAAAGGTGGACCTCTGCATTGTGAGCTGTAGTCTCATTGGCAGTCGGCACAGGGTGTGTTTGTTTTTTTTGTCTCTGTGTGTCTTGTGGTCAAGGTGTGTGCTTTGTTAAACAGAGAATGTGAGTATGGCAGTTCTGTGTTTGCAAAAGGTTGATAAAAGGTATCTGTTTGTGTGTGTGTGTGTGTGGTGTGTGTGTGTGTGTGTGTGTGTGTGTGTGTGTGTGTGTGTGTGTGTGTGTGTGTGTGTGTGTGTGTGTGTGTGTGGTGTGTGTGTGTGTGTGTGTGTGTGTGTGTGTGTGTGTGTGTGTGTGTGTGTGTGTGTGTGTGTGTGTAACTGAATGTATGGATGCTGTGCGACCGGTGTGTGCTGGTATGTGTGTGTTGTGTGATCTCAGCCGTGTGTGTATTAATTGAGTGTTAGATCAGTGCCGGGCCTGTTCCATCCAAGGGCGGCCTGTGATTATAAATAAACTCCCCGTCCCCGCGGAGATGCCACCAGGCCCGGCCTCAGCCCCGCCCCCTTTCCCATGGGGCCTCAGCGGCCACCTCCCAGCAGGCAAAGCACTCTTTTGTTCAATTACAGCTAATGCAGTAGTTTGTCATTTCCCCTCTTCCATTTTGTAATTATATTTTCAAGTGCAATTTGTGACAGAATTAAAACAAAAAGAAAATGAGAAAACACCCTTTTTGCGTGCTGAGGCTCTTGGGTTTTTTGCCGTTTGACATCCCCTGGGTGCAGTGCTATTCTTTTTTCACAGAGCTCTGAATGAACAAGTTTTGCTCATTTTTAAAAAGCTGCACTTTTGGAGGAGCTGGCAGAAGCCAGCGTTAACTGTTTGCGTGCTGAGCATGTGGTCTGGATTACCTCACGTCTGATGTTTCTGGAGTTGCTCGGTCATGCACGGGTGTTTCATTTTTCAGCGTTCTACGGTCAGCAAAAACGAATTTGTAAGAAGTGGAAAAAAAAGCGCCTCTTGGTATCTTATCCCCCTTTAAAATCAACGTTTATCCTCCCAATCACAATCCCCATTCTTTCTGGGGGACTTTCCTTTTTTATTGCAAAGCCTCAAAGCCTAATTTGAAAAACAACGATTATATTGTCCATGTAAGCACAGGATTATAATTTCATAGCCCAGGAACATCAAACGGGTTCTAATAGACCCCAAATGTGTTGAATTTGCTGACTTGTATATTCTTTTCTGTTATTCTATTCCTTTTACATTTTCTTTAAAACAAACCCTGTCATGAATTAAGGTCTACTCCTTTTTTCATAATTCTCAACTCGGCTCTGAACCTCCTCACACAGTCTTCTAGTATCCCAATTGAAACCAGTTGTTCCCCAGTGGGTTTCTCTCTTCTCCCTCCTCTCTTCCTCCATCTGGGTTTCTATCACTCATTTCGTCACGTAGCCCTAAGAGCATGATGCAAACACCACATTGCCCCTTGATATCGGCTTCATTTGATTTGGCAGAGCAAAGATAGACTCACACAGGCATCAGAGTAGGCTCGACTTAGTGTGTGTGGGGTGTTTTGTTTGTTGGGTGTTTGCTTGTGATAGCTATCGCTGCGTGTGATAAGACATTAGATTCCATTTTCGTCTATTTTGAAGTCTCTTTTCTCTCCTGTCCTCGGCGGTAATGTTGCTTTCAGAGGCACTGAGAGATAAGAGGTAACATCTGGTTAGGTTTCAATAATATGCAGCAGCCTCGTATGGGGCAGAGTGTGTGTATATGTGAATGTAAATGTGTGTGTGTGTGAGGGTACTAAATATGTTAGTATTATTAATGTGTGTTTGTATTTGATGTCTTCTCACCTGAGTGTTTGTATCCTTACTCCCCTGTTCTCTGGTGTGCAGCTGACAACTGTCCTTTACCCTTACACACACACACACACACACACACACACACACACACACACATACATACATACACATACACATACACATACACATACACATACACATATACATATACATACACACACATACACACACACACACACCTTACTATATATAACCCAGGTCTCTTTTGTCTGGTCAGCTGCTTGTGTTCATCTCTGATGTTTCTTGAAGTCGTAGAGAAAGGAATGAACTTCCACTCTGTGGTAAAACCTCTTTTGTTTAAATAAAGTTTGAAGTCGGCCTCAGTTTGGTCGGTCGTGCGGTATTTGTTTGAGAGAAGTTGTGGGAAAACTTCATCTTATTTGGTTATGTTTCTGACTTGGCTCTGCCTCCCAGATGAAATTTAAATCTGCATTAGAGGGATTGGTCATTTTGTTTCATTTTGGACAAAACACATGATTTATTCTTGTGTAGCAATACTTTGAGTTATTTACCTCTCTCTCTCCAAGTCTCTCTGGTCTGTTCTGCTCGAATGACATCACTCTCTGGCGCTCGCTGCGGCCTATCTTAAGTTGTAGCTGTTTTGTATTTTCATCTGCTAGTGGTTTGAGCCAAATGGAGGCAGCCGTGGATTGCATGCCTCAGAAAGCTGGGAACTAATACAACATGTTCGCTCGCTATTCGTCCGCTCTTCATGCAGCCCCCATAATCCTCATTCCATAAGATTGTTGCGGGGGTCTCACACACTGCGTGACTGGGCTGAGAGTTGGCAAATTATACATTTAGTTTGGAGTGTGAGTTTGTTGTGTAAATGTTCCTTTCACATCACGTACAGTATGACCGAAGCTTTCCGAACATGGTTATAACATATGCCTGCGTCAAAAATCACGATAACACATCAAACGACGTCAAGAAGTTGAATTTGACTGATCTTTCTCTCCTCTTTCTTTACGACAGACGTCCTGGAACAGAGATCACGATGACACGGCGTCCACACGCTCTGGAGGAACGCCGGGACCGTCCAGCGGAGGACACACTTCACACAGCGGGGACAACAGCAGCGAACAGGGTAAGAGACTGACTTTCTTTCTTAATGAAATGGACCAGAAGGAAAGCACAGGGGCACAGTTTGCATGTTAACCAAGACATGTCAAAAGAACGTTATTATGAGTTCAGATGAGGATTGACGGGCTCATTCAGGATATTTGAAGTTGGATTACGTTGGTGCAACAGTTGCTCGTAGCTCACATGGAGGTCAGAGGTCATGGTCAGCTATATTAGAGCACTTCTGGACCTGGTAGGCGTTCACTGTCTCAGGGACACGTCGGCAGAGCAGACATGAAAACGTCTCATACCCGAGTCTGTAGAGTGGCTTCTGTCTGACTGGTGCCCTTTTGGCAATTGTTTGTTTAATGCTATTTAGCATGCAATCTGCTTCACATCTGAGCATATTATGTTGTGTTTGTATGCTTCTGCTTTTTGTATATCCCAGACCACACAGTTTATATGGGCTCTTTTACGACTTAGTTTGCAGATCTCGTTATTTTCTGCTGTCATAAAAGAGTGATGGGGATTTTACTGTTTTAGTATTTCTGGAAGGATTTCATTCACCTTTTTGAAGAATTTAAACGTAATAGATTGACTTTATTGACACTAATAATGGCTTTGAATGTTGCAACTGTTACTACAGGCTGCTTGAATATGTTTACACACCTGCATTTAGACTAAAAGAGATGTGCAAAATGTGAAATGTGCAAAGAATTGAATTGAATTGAGGTTTTTTTCTCGTTGGTATTATGTTTATCCTTCATTTATAGGGTCAAACACATTTGTCCTCTCTTGGACCTAATAACTCTGCTCAGGCCAAATGTGTATGCATTCTAAGAACATGTGTGTGTGTGTGTGTGTGTGAGAGAGAGAGAGAGAGTGGGAGGATGGGTTGGCCGTGGTGTGGCGGCGTTGCAAACAAACTGTAGGCAAAAAGCAACTTCATATATTATTGAAGGCGATGTCAAGGCGAGCGGTTTGCAGGGTTGCCAGTGCCAGGAGGCAGAGCCTGGGTGGGAGCACAGAGCCGCCATGCTTCCCCTCCGATGAGCAGCCATTTATATAGTCAACACACACTCTCTGTCTCTCTTTGTCTCTCTGTCTGTCTCCACACTGTCTCATCCTCTCTCTCTTTCCGTGTCTTTCACATTCTCTCCGTCTTTTCTCACTCGTCGTCATTAATGCTCGACAGAGGAGCTGAGGGACGGAGGTGAGACACGAGTGGAGACCAACATAAAAGATAGACAGATGACGTAGAAGAGGAGAATAGACTGGGGCGAAATTACAGTGAAACGGAGGAAGACAAAGCAATATGTGTGTGTGTGAGTGTGTGCACGCCTCTTCTTCTGATGACTAATGGTCTGGGGCAGCCAGGCAGGATCTGATTGGTCGCTCTAATGAGCGTGCTCTGTGCCGAGTTTGGGCTCCTGCTTCTGTGACCTTTGCCCTCTATTGACCAAACTGACACTTCATTTTTCACATCTTTCCAATTATAGGCCCACTCCTTATGTTGGCCCACCTCCTCTCACTCTCTCTGTCTCTGCCTCTCATCATCTCCCTCTCTCTACCTCCACATATCCCCCCGCTATTGTAGGTTTTTGTTTGTTGTTGAAGTTCATTAGAGGGTAAAATGTGGGCTAGTGTGTGTATACATGTTCAAGTTTGTGTGTGTGGATGCAATGAATGAGGTGCTTTTGAGTTGTCTGAGTGTTACAGGAGAGTTTGGAGCAATGCACATTGGCTAAGTTAGGTCAATTTAGGACGATAAAAAGTCGAAAAACAACCTATAATCTGCTTTTAAAAGCCATATTTTTATCATATTTATTACCTTCAGTGTCCAGTGTCAAATAAATACAGATATTAGGTAGAATTATAATATCTAAAACACAGACTATTGTGACTGTATTATAATTTCCGGTTGGTATCACTCCCCTTTACAATCGCACAACTTTCATGAACTATTATCAGCAATTATTATGCACATACTATGGGGCAAAAAACAAAATCTGATGGGTGTTACGTTCAGGTGTCCACATACTTTTGACCATGTAGTGTATATTTCCAAATGTAGACTTTTAAATTGAAGTAGAGCATTACACAGCTTTCCTATGTTTCTCTCTGAGGCCTGCAAAAGCATGTATGTGTGTAACTGCTTTGTATCTGTAGTGTTTCTATGGACACACACACACACACACACACACACACACACACACACACACACACACACACACACACACACACACACACACCATGTATACATCACTTCAGGGGACATTACATTGACTTACATGCATTTCCTGGAGACTTATCCTAACCATAACCAACACATGCCTAACCCTAACCCTAACCCTAACTAAGTCTTCACCCTAAAATGAATGATTCCCCTTATGGGGACCTCCTTTTTGTCCCCATAAGGGAGGCGAGTCCCCACACGTGACTGTGTAAACAGATTTAGGTCCCCACAAGTATAGTAATGCTAGGACACACACACACACACACACACACACACACACACACACACACACACACACACACACACACACACACACACACACACACACACACACACACACACACACACACACAGTGAGGACACGGTGACAACAGTAAACACCGGGGGACATGTTGGACTGCGTTCAGGTTTATATGGGTTAAGAGCGATCACTGCCACGTCACATTGGCTCTGGCAAAACAGTGTGTCAGTCACTTGGTAATCCCGGTAAGCTGGTTATTTATCTGTTTGGCACTTTGCTCGCTCTCTCCCCGACAGTTTCACCCCACGTTCTCTCCCCCCCCCCCCCCCCCCCCCCCCCCCGCCCCTCTTTTTTCTCGCTCTTTCATCTTTTGCATCCTCCCTCTCTTCTCCAGTTTTCCCTTGTCTCCCACCTACTCCTGTGTCTCCCTCTTTCATTTTGCTCTCTGTCGGTTTCTCTCTCCTCGTGTGTGAACCCCCGTGCTTCTCTCTCTCTCCTCCCACTCTCTGTAAAACACTACCTTTTTGTTTATCTCTCTTCCTTCCCTTTCTCTCACCTCTCTTCATTCACTCCTTCTCAATCTTCCATTTTTCACGTCTCTGTTCCTTTTGGGGAATATTGTCTTTCATCTTTCCTCTCCGATCTGTTTCCTTCTGGCTTTGTGTTGCTCTTCATCCCTCTATGTTGTTTATCTTCCACTCCTCATCTTACCTTTCCTCCTTCCTCCTTGCTTCTCTATTCTATATTTACTCCTCTCCCCTTTCCCTTATTCCCTCCTTCATGTTTCATTCTCGTGTTTGCCCCAACCTTTGTCTTTCTTCTACCTTTTACAGATTGCTTTCTCACTGACCTTTCCCTTCCTCCCTCTTGCCTGGAGAGCTGCAACGCTAATGGCCATCTTTCTCTCCTTCCCTTGTTCTCTCCTTCTTTCCCTTCAACCCTTAGACTATCAAGCCACCTTCTCACTCTCCTTCCACACCTCATCCCTTACTCAATCTTCTCTAATTCCTTCCCTGTTTGTCTCCCTATCCCCCCTCCCCCCTCCTATCCTTCCTTCTTCCCCCTCCAGCAGAGCGAAACAGCTCAGAGGAAGGATGCTGGATGGTCGAGGGCCTTTAACTAGTGAACTCCAGTCTCCTCTCTCAGACTTTTTTTTTTTCCGAGGCTATTCCTGAGCACATGCTCTGCTCTGCCCTCTTCTCTGCACGGTTCACTGCGCACTAGTAGACAAATCCCCGTCTCTACCTGGAAACGTAGCATCCTCACTCTCCAATGCAAGAGCTGCAGGAATAGTGAGGATGACTCTTCTTTACGTAAGATCAGACGTGTCCACAAGCACTCAAATGCAGGAGAAGCTATTCATTTAATGCAACCGAATCAATTTGATGATTATGTGGGTTTTAAAAATGAGATATTTATTGATAGCTCTTGGGACGTGTATTGATCAGCAGGTGTTTAGCCGTGATCTGTGTCAAAGCAAGAATGTCAGCAATTACAAAGAAGATGCTTTTTATTTTTTGCTTGTGGTGACGATGCTTAAATGCTGAGTTGGTGCTTGTGGGTGTTTTTTTGCTTTGACCACAATGCCATTGGTATTTTCTAGCGCTGAATTCCACAGAAGAAAATGGAGGGAGGATCACATTTGCTTCACACATGTCATTAAAATCAGTCCTGGGTGTCTCCTCTCTCCCTAAAAGAGCAGACAAAGAAGAAAGCCTCTTATTTTTCTCTGGGAGGTCTTTGTAAACATCTAGCCAGCTCCGACAGGGAGAGTCGGAGAGCCGCCCTGTAGTTAATTAGTCCCACTCTATTAGCCCAGCTGTTTGTTAGCTTGTTCCTACCAACAGGGCCCTTTGTTTAATACCCAGAAGCCCTCTGGAGAAGCCCTCATTGTAGCTGTTGTTGCCTTGGATCATGCTTCTCTGTGAAGAGTAATGCTCCAAGCGCAGAGGAAAAGCCAACAGATCATATATGCCTTGCGATGGAGGATGAGGAGGAGGAGGGGGGGTCCCTTACGGACACAAGCGGGCCCTCTCTTTTTCTCCCAGTATAAAGTACTCTTCTTTGCCTGTGTGAATTTGTAAGGACACCCCTTGGCTTCTCCGAGGGCCTGGCGTGCGAGGGAAACAGAATAACATTCAGGCGCTGAATCGGGCAGCTGCAGCGATGTGGAGCTGAGGAGGCTTCGCTGTGTTTTTGAAAGCTACAGGGTTTCCCTCTCCGCTTGTCAGAAGCATCCAGGGAGCGAGGCGTTGACTGGCGATATTAGATATGTATCGCCAATTACCCAGACCGTTTGTGAAGAGAACAGTGAGCCGCGCCAAGGCAAACAGCTCCCTGTAAGGCAATGTGTTAGTGTCTGCATACACTTCTCCTGTCTGAGTAGTGGCCTGAGATTTCTGGTTGTTTGGTCTGATATCTAGCTCTGAGAGTTAGTTTTTTTTTTTTCATTATTATTGGCTGGTGTAGTTGGAGGAATGCTCAACATAAAATGTATGTGAATATTTGCCATTTTATGGTCGTAAACCGTGTATATGTCGAAATAAAA